GTGTCTACTTAATAACGTCTTGATCAGGAGTGGAAAACGATCATACTTTGCTTAACAACTTAAAAACTGTGAATAAAACACCGCAGTTTCCTGGTATTACAAGCATCTTTGTCACGATCATTACATGCATTTCTGACACATAATTTAGCATAATTTGTCTCGTCAAGTATGTGAATGAGAAAAATCTCGTAAAATGTTTTAGTAACTATTTTCACTTCCGGAAATTCCATTTGATTTAGACCAACTGAATTTATTAACACGATGCTGTACATAGACTGTCTCTCGCTAGGTAGTCTCAAAAATAATATGATATACTTGAGCAATTATTATATATAGCTGAGTAATAAATTACATGCAGAAGTAATAAAATAAGCACACTATAGTCGAAAAAAGTTTTGAAAAATAAAAAATTAAAAAAAGCAACAGGGAAAAAAAACATGGAACTTCAATTTTTTTTAACTATCTTTCCACTGCCCCAATCTTCACCCCGACGTGATGGGAAAGACATTTAAAAAAAAAATCATGTGCGATATGATAAAATTAAATAAAGAGAATTTAAGACATGATGAAAAAACAGGGTTGGGACTAGGCTCCACAAGCCGGTATATAAGCTCGGGCATCACAAAAGCTCATCATTGTATTGTTTTCCCCATTTGGGAGTCCCCAAAAAAATGGTAAGATTTGTCTTCATCTTTTTGTCTAGATCTAGTAAAAGATCGGGAAAAATTTTTTAGACGCAGTAATGCTCAACTGATGAAACATTAAAAGTGTCAAAAAGGGGACTTAGACTTAAATTTGGGAGAAATTGTAAAAATTTATAGGATACCTTCATGCGCTACTCTTTTAGATAAGTAAGCTTTACGGATTTAAAACTCGTGAGAGATGCCCTAAACGAGGAAAAAAAAGAAATTGAGGGGGGAAAGATCCCAGTAAAAGGGGGAAACATAATACTTAGGAAAAGTGAAATCCCGTGGCTTGAGGTTTTTTTCAAATATGCGACAAAAGTTCCCATGAAGAGAAAGAAATTTAAAAACCCTTATTCACTGTTAAAGAATAGCATTCCTTTTTTCAGGGTGGTAAGCATTATTTTATTTTCCCGTAAAATTCCTTTAAAATGAGCGGATCCCAATTTTTTTTGCGTTTTTTTTTCTTTTTTTCCAACTTTTCCCTTCTTTTTTTTTTGCCCTGACGAGGGATTCAATCGTTTCAAAAAAATTTTGCCCAAACATTTTTCCTATTTCTGGAGGGCTTCTGTTTTTTTTAAACATTTTAAACCAAATTGGCGAATTTGTTACAGGTAAAAAAGAATTACTACCCTTAAATCTAGAACCTTTAGGAAAATCTACATGAAATAAGTTTTAAAGCAAAGCTATTTTCCCCTTTGCTCTTGGGGGGGAGAAATTGATTCATCTGAAATTCTTGCTTTATGCATGATTTTTTGGTAAATGACCTCGGGACTGAAGCTTTCGGGGAAAAACATTGTGAAAAACATTCCCTTCTTTTTTTTAATTTTTTTTCAGAAATTGTTGCTGCTTTCTCTGGGGGGTGGCTTTCTTTTGGAACCGGGGTCCACTTTTGGGCCAAAAGTCCTGGCGGTAGGGGCGGCGGTGGAGGGGGGGGGGGAGGGGGGGGGGGCTTTTGGGGGGGGCGGGTTATGGAGGCAGTGGTTTTGGGGGGGGTTTGGGGAAAACGGGAGCGGGGGTCACCTTCACCCTAGGTGGGGTCTGGAGGCGGGGGGGGAGGGGGGCGGTTTCGGAGGTAGGGGAAAAGGAACCCCAGCTTCACCCCGGCGGGGGTGAGGTCGGGGTGGGAGTTATAGCGGGGGCTGTAAAAGCAGTGGCTTTAATTGGGGGGCCATGGGGGGTTTTGGGGGTGGTGCCTTCTTTGGCGGAGGGGGTTCGGGCGGGGGTTTTCGGAGGTGGTGGCGGAAGTTTTGGAGGGGGGGGGCCTCTGGTGGGGGGTTTTTGGAGGTGGCGGGGGGGCGGAGGGGGCGGCGGCTATAGTGGTGGGATCACGAGCAGTGGTTTCAGCTTCGGAGGCCTGGAGGCCTTGGAGGGGGGTGGCGGGACCTTTGGAGGTAGTGGTAGCGGTGGGGATTTGGGGGCGGAGGGGGCTATGGGAAATAAAAAAGGAAATATTTTTAAATGGTATGATTCAAAGCCAAATTTCCCATGATTGTTAAGAAAAATGTATAATTTTTTACAAAGTTTTAAAAAAGACAATATACTTAATAAAACAAAAACGAAATTCTAAGAATTTTTTTTCCCTTGATCATATGAAAAAGGAGCTTTTCAGGGGGGAAATGTAAAAAAGATAAAAATTTTTAAGGGAAAAAAAAAATTTAAAAAAAAAGCTTTCTTACCGTGTAATAGGTCAAATGTAAACAGAACCGGCCCAATTTGGGTCATATACGATTTGGATTTCATTCCATTGTGGGGTAATCCCTAAAGGTTTAAAGTTCTTCATTTAAAAGTTAATAATTATTAAATTTTTATTATTTTTCCCTTGTTTTTTTATATAATCTGTAGGAGTCACTGAGCGTATTTAATTTTGAATAAAAAATATTCAAAGGATAATGATGTTTTGAGGCCTCAAACATTTATTATTGCCCCTTTTTCACGGTGATGAGTTTGACAGGGGCTGAAAGCCAGTTTTTTGGGGGTGCACTTGAAGTGAAGACCAACTCTAAAATTTTTCTACCAAGTTGCTTAAAAAAAGCCGTACCGTGCACCTTGCCTCAGATTTACCAAGATTTAAAAAACCTAAAATTTTCTAGAAAAGCAAGGGAAAAAAAATTTTAAGTACTTACAGTACTGCCTGAAGCCTCTGGTTTTTAGCACTGCTGGTGAGGGGAAGATTTCTGTTTGGGACCCTCAGTGTAATGTTTTGGGTTTGGGGTTAATAATGTTTCTTTAAATGTTTTAAAAAATCAAAAAGTATTAATTTTTGCTGTTTTTTTAATTTAAAAATTTTGCATTTTTGGAGCCCCCAAAACCCCTGGGGACATTCAGGTAATGAGTTTGAAAACTTGTTTGTTAATGGTTTACTCCGAGGGGACCAAATTTGGCTGGGGGGTACTTCCCCGAATTATTACACCTATTAGGAAAAAAACATATGTCAAAGAATAATTTACATGAACCCCGTTAAAGATTTTGTTAGCAAATTTTTGTTTTAAAAATTATTTTCCTTTAATTATTATTATTATTATTTTAAAAAAAAAAAAAGTGGCATAGATCCTAAACAAAAGGGTTCAAAAAACCCCAATTTTATTTTTCCCCTTATTTCCACAGGGTCCTCTTTCGTTAAATTTCCCTTTTGATGCAGGCATGTAGTAAAAAAAAAAATAAAAACAAGGAAGCTTTTTTTTATGGTGGTTTTAAAAGGACAAAGGAAACTCTATTTCCAGTGAAGAATTAAAGAAGGGCAACAGGAGAGACTAATTTCCATTGACGAAAACTTTTTTCCCTCGAAAAGGGGCAAGGAAGCTCTGTACCAGTGTAGGCTTAAGAAAGACAAATAGGAAAAATCTTTACAAGTGAAGGAAAAGAAAAACCAGGAATCTTTTAATAGTAAAGGGGGTAAAATACCAAAGTTTTTTTAACAGTCCCCCGGGGTAAAAAAAAAACGACGCTAGGGAAACTTTAAACCAATATAGGGTAAGATACCAGGAAACTTTAAAAACCAACATGGGGTAAAGACGAAAGCCCGGGAAACTTTTTAACAGTTTAAAGGGGGAAAGAAGATTTCCACAAGCTTAAACCAGTTTATGGGTTTTAAAAAAACGCAAGGAAGCTTTTACCGTGAATAGAAATCAGTGACTTAAAAACCAGGAAAACCCCTATACTATTTAAAAAATGTAAACAAACCAGAAAGCTCTTTACCAGTAAAAAGATTCAGAAAAATAATAAAAAGATAAGGTATTTTTAAAGAGGGGTTTTTTCTGGGGATATGGTTTTTTGGGACAAATATAACAAATTTATAATCTTTAAAAAAAATAAAAACTAATAATAATAAAAAATAACAAAAATTTAAATTTTAACCCAAAAAAGAATAACTGTAAAGTGAAATAAAAGTAAGTACTGGTATACAAATCAGAAGTTATACACCAAGAGATGTATTTATCTCTGCTTTTATAAACATAATGTGTAGACTGAAGGTTCTTTCATCCCTATTTTCAAGATTAAGGTGTCTTTGTCTGGTGGTGAAAATAATTCTATAGTGTTAATGACCCTAATGTAGCCGATAAACATTAAACCCCAGTTACCATCCAAATTGTAACAATTGTTATATAAATCACGTCTCGTATGCTCAGCGAGGTAAAGACCCACAAAACAACGTCGTAGGTCAAAAAAATATCGATCATGGGTATTATTTTATTTCTTATTTCTTATAGGAAAAAATAATTAATGTCAAGTATTTATGTTCTCATTTCAATTAAAAGAAATGTCTTGGGTATCAGTCGCTGACAGGTCTTCAAAATTTCTCTACAAGAGTTTTCTTTTTTTTCCAGTACTTAAGAGAGAGAGAATAAAAAAAATTGTTTCAGGAGGAGCACTGTGCATGTTGCTTTAGCCTATAATTGTGCATGATGCTTTAGCATTGTCTGTGTGGTCTTGATAACCAGGTTTTCTGTGGACTAAATGACCGAGGATGGTATGGTCTTCTCAATAAAGTTTATTGTCCTATCTCAAAGACATACGTTCTTTATATTTGCACATATAATTAGGAGGAAAGTTATATTCGAAAATATATATTGATTTTATTAGATATGTTTCAGCTTACATGTATTTTCGAGAATATTCGTTTTTAAATGTACACTGGCCAAAGCGATAAAATAGCTTATGGATAACTTTATTGGCATTATTCTTAAATATTCACTAATTATTTCCCATAGCTTCCTCCACCACCATAGCCTCCGCCGCTGCCACCTCCAGAACCACCAAACGCCACCTCCAAAACCTCCACCACCAAAGCTACCAAAGCCTCCTTTGCCTCCGAAGTTAAAACCGCTGCTGATAAAAACAGAGCTGTAGCCGCCGCCGCCGCCGCCGCCGCCGCCGCCCACCACCCCCACGCCCACCAACGAAGGTACCTCCATAGCTGCCACCACCTGAGCCACCTCCACCAAAGAAGGCACCTCCACTGCCTCCGAAACCGAAACCGCTGCCGGAAGAGCCACCGCCATAACCCCCACCACCACCACCCACCACCACCACCAATTCCTCGACCACCAGGACTAGCGAAGGTGGTCACGGCCAGGAGAGCCACGACCAGGGTAAGTAACACCAATTTCTGTAAAAGTAGATAATACTAACTTAATGTAATGTTCAAGAAAATTAAGGAAAATTATCCATTCTCCCCCCCCCCAATCATATTCAAAAGAACGTGGTATGACCCCAAAGAATATATATTTCTTCTTCCAGCTAAAAAAAAATTCTTCCAGGCAATTTTAATCAACTGGACAATGGTGCTTACATTAGATCTACAGTGTGCTGCTAGCACCATTAGTCTAATTTATCCATCTGCTGTTAGAGTATAAGCAAGGTAACATTTATGAAGAGATTCAGGGAAACCGGCGGGCCGGACTTGAGTCCTGGAGATGGGAAGTACAGTGTCTACACTCTGAAGGAGGGTGTTAATGTTGCAGCTTTATAACTGTAGTATAGGCATGCCTCTGACAAGACAGTGATGGAGTAAATGATGATGAAAGTTTTTCTTTTTCAGGTCACCCTCCCTTTGGTGGGAGACGGCCATGTGGTAATAAAAAAAAATAAAAAAAATCTACCAGGAGGTCTGGTTGGAGATTGGGTAAAGAGAACAATGCTAGTGACACCATTAACAGGAATAGGTAGACTGAAGCATTCATAATGTTTCCCAAGATAAGGATAAACTTGAAAATTTTTACTTGTTTAGATGATGCTATGAGTAGACAGAAAAATATTTGCTGCTATAAACAAGTATTTTATATCAATGACAACATAGACTGTCTATTAATAGACTGATGACACGACAAACGTATAAAAATATTTCCTTGTATGTCACACCTCTTAATGTATTTCATGTGGTGGTTTATTTGCCAGGAAACAACAGAAATCACCTCACAATCATAATTAGCTAACCCGTTTTATGGTTAAACATTTGCGGGTCTACGGGAGCTAATTTTACGCCCGATTCCAAAAACAAAACACACTACATATTCGTAAGGGTATCAAAATAAAATTCTGATCTAAGCACTTCCTAATTCTTCATAAAATTTATTGCTCTTAAAGATAAGACATCAAAATAATTTATAATATGCAACGTAATTTGTTCTTTACATCTTAAAACTGATATCCCTCCAGTTTTACTTCTGTAGTATTTGTGAATAGGGTGTTATTGCTGTCATAAAGAACAAATGATAAATGTGACAGCAGAAATATTTATTTAAATGTTGCTATCAAACGTATCACAGTCTGATGTCTGTCATCTACATTATTGATCTACACTAGAACAAGGCAGTGAATATTCCAAACAATAAGAAGAATACCAAGTCTTACCATGTTGGTGTAGTCAGTCAGGAAGACCAGACAGAAATATGATGAAGAGATGTGTAGTACAGAGCTCATATACCACATCTGTGATAGCCCAGTCACTCAAACCTTGGAGAAGTCACTCAAACCTCGATGTTCCTTCCCTGTCTCATGTTCTCCTACATATATTTTACAAAATGATGCATTTTTTTATTATTCATCGTATAATCCCATATCAATATGAATGACTTGTGAACAGTGAATGACAATCATAAAAAAAGCAGAGTATCTGGGCACTGATTTTTCTTCGGATTTTTTTTCAAACGAAATTTCAGTGTTTTTTTTTTTTTAATATTAAATTTTCTTATTTTTTTATGTGTAATATATTATGCAATTATTATTGGTACTGAACGGGAATTATAACTGGTGTATTTATTAACTGTATAAGAAAAATAATATATTGCGAACAGCTGTAAGGAACTCAGTAGAGGTGTTCTGGTACTTTACTATTTAAAACACTGAAGTATAAATATGAATTATTTCCGGAGTATCGTAATTCTTCTCTTTCATGGAAAACCTAATTAACATAACTTCGTAATAATATTTGCAATAATCGGTGTATGATTCTAAGTATCAGAAGATATTCCATGTTTTCTTGATATGCATTTACACAGATCGAAGCATTTAACTAATTTTCGTCAAAACAGTGTGTGGATCTAAAGAGTTTTGAAACAAATACATCGTGACGTGTCCAGTCATGTTCACAATCTCAGTGATATTTAAGTTTACAATGACAAAAATTTTGTGAATGTCTTTTTAAAACTATATGCAAATACATGACACTAAAACTATTTCGGATTATATTTAGTGTCTTATTTCACTATTATTTTGTTTCTTTATTTAGTTATATATTTTATAAACGTAGGTATTAAGTTGTGTATATTATGAATACTTGAGTACACAACGACAGATATTCATCTGCCAATTTAACTGAGAACTGGTTGTAAAGGATGAAAAAGGTCATAATACCCTGACTGGAATACACAGATAATGCACACTTAGGTAGCTTATCAAGATGTCTTCTGGTTTTCTGTGCGTTTCTCTCTTACTGGTGACTAGACTATGGTCAAGGACTAACCGAAGCATCGTTGAAGCTTCCGTTCCTATGTGTGGGTTATTTGTGAAGCGGATGTAAAACATATAAGTTGTTCAATACATTATCGGAGAACAGATAGGTTCGGTAACATTTGTCAGGAAACACGACAAGTGTTTCTTGACGAGGTCTTCAGTTATATGATAACACGCAGCTGGAGCTTTTGGTCTTCTGACCAAGGCCTTTCCCTGGCTTTACGGATCACCCCCTTTAAAAAGTATGACTATGAGTGTAAGCATTTAACAGTCGCAGAACGGAGACCTTTGCATAAACAAGCTCGGAGAACAAGCTTATTCTAGTTTATACATAGAATGTATAGGTATATATAGTTAAATTTTGATCAAACAAAAAAAGACATTTTCTAGGGATGACTCTAAAGCTGAGAACTGACTCCCAAAGGATTGCTTCTTAGTGTTTGTTCTGTATAGTATTCGTCTGGAGGTAAAAACTATCAGGGATCAATGATACTCCTTCATTATTCACGAACCTTTCATATTAGAATTAGATAAAAGACGAACAAATAAACCAGTGTGCCATCTAGTATAATTAGTTCAAGAGAACATAAGACATGTCATGAACATCAAGGTCTTAGTGACGTGGCTCTCACAGGTCTGGTATATAAGCTAGGCATTACCAACGTCTTCATCATACTCCTGTCTTGGCTTCCCTCCTGAAGACACCAATATGGTAAGACTTTCTAGTCCTCTCATTGTCTGAAGTGTGTCAGTAGTAAAAATCGAAGAGGTTTTTGGCAGAAGTATCACAATATTGATGAATTTGAAATCAGCGGCAGTCACTGGATACAAATAACTGCTAAGTGATAAGATCAGGTCTAAATAAACACTTTTTAAGCAACTTGTCTTCATGACAAGCTTTATGAGAAAATATGGCTTACGATGAGAATTTACCTTAGGAACGAGCAATAAAATGTGACAGTGTGATGTGAAATATGATAGATGAACTTGGGTCGACTTTCTCTTACCAGAAGTACGATGAGAATGAAAAATAAGAGACAAAGTACGAGAGGGAAGTCGAATTTCTTGACACGAGGATTTTCCTGCATATTTCTGAGTGTTATCATATTATTTTTCTATTATTAAATGTTTAGAATTAATTTTAAAAACAATTGTTTCTCATCCCGGAAATCTATGCGATGGACACTCAAATCATCATAAATAGGAGGAATTATTTTCCATGCTCAATAGAGTTTTATACATTATCTCTTCTGAGCTAACATATAAAAATTAATGGCAGTGGGGGGCGGGGGAGATTATTTTGCTTTCTTGTTTATGCAAGTTAACTCTGGTAAGGATGTTGATCAGTAAAATATTTTGTACTATTTTTTCAGAAGTTGATATTCCTCGCCCTGAGTGTGGCTTCTCTCGCCATGTCCAGTTTGGCGACTCCTGGCTTCCTAGGAGGTGGAGGTAGCGGTGGTGGTGGTGGTGGTGGTGGTGGATACGGAGGCGGCGGCTTTGGTCGTGGTGGAGGCAGCTTTGGTGGTGGCGGCTTTGGTGGAAGCGGCGGCGGTGGTGGCAGCGGATATGGAGGTAGTGGAGGAAGCTCCATCATCATTTCTCGGAGGTGGAGGAGGCCGCGGTTTCGGAGGTGGTGGAGGGGTTATAGCGGTGGTTTGTCAAACAGCAGTTTCATCCGCGGAGGCCATGGAGGTGGTGGAGGCGCCTTCTTTGGAGGCGGAAGCTTTGGTGGTGGCGGCGGGAGCTATGGAGGAAGCTCTGGTGGCGGCTTTGGAGGTGGTCGTGGTGGCGGCGGTGGAGGCTTTGGTGGTGGTGGCAGCGGTGGCGGATATGGTGGTGGTGGCAGGGTGGCGGAGGAGGCTATGGCAAATAAAATGGCAATATTTAGATTTATAGGATTTAGTCCATTCTGTTTTTGCCGATTTATACGAAAAAGAGAGAAATGTATTAATAAACAAAATTTTGAATGTACTAGAGTTTATTTCTCATCAAATGAAAAAAATTTTTTTTTTTAAGAATACGCTATTATGTGTGTTGTACTGAAATGGTATGTGATTCTTTCAAAATGGGAA